TTACCCCACGCATTTGTGACTTAGTATTCATCAGAAGACTCAAAAGGATATCTATGTAGGTTTCTGGGGCTTTTCTTTTCCATAACTACTTCTCCACTTGTCTGTCTTGCAAATTGCAGTACCTTAGCCTCCATGACCTCTGATCTTGTTTTCTTAACTCTGTAAGACTGCTGGTGTCTGCTTAGGTTATTTCTCCCTTCTCTGTTCACTGTGGTCCAGAAAGTGCCTCCAGACAAAAAGTCAAGAAAACATGTGGCCCATATTGTTTGCTTTCCTTCTTTCAGGGATCAAACTTCCCTGTTAATTTTCCAGTGCCTGAAAACAATTGTCTTATATATTTTGATCAATTTTCTGTTTGTTTTTAATAGAAGGAGAGTAAGGTTTTAGTAACTCCATCATAACTGGAAGCAGAACTCTAGTAACTTTTTTTTTACTTGCTACAAAAATAAGAAATTCTTCCAATCAAGATGTTTGTCAAGCAGGTCAGAAATGGAGTACATTTGCCTTTATTTTTCTGGCTTATGTGTTTTTTAAAATTAAATATATACATGTTATTTATAATATTTAAAATATAAAATTATGCTATATGTTATAAAACAGGTGTAAACATATGAGCATCACTTACATTTACAATTATTTAATGACTTCACAGTCTTCCTTTTTTATTTTGAATTATACACACTTTTAAAACGTATTATCTGGTTACTGTAGTCTGTACACGGTCAGCAGTACAAAAACTGTCTTTGCAAACAGCAGCTTTACAAAATGCATATAACAATCTATATGCATTAGATATTTACTATTTGCATTTAATGTTTTATTTTTAGTTTCCTTAAATTATATTACTATAAGATAGAGGGTTGATTGCCTTGTTTTCTACAACTTGGCTTCAAATTTTTCTTTTAGAATAAAGATTAGAGTTAAACTCAGGATGCTGAGAAAGTTCAACCTGATAACCACAATAGTTGTAATTAGCACATATACATTTTTTAATCACATTTTTTGTTATTTTATTTTTTCAGGCTGAAATAAGGCCACTAAAAGGTCTGAGGAGTATGGGCATAGATAAAACCATATCATTTTAGAATATAGTTAGATTGAACTGAGAATATCGTGTGCAGATACACCTGTATACATCAAATGGGTACATAAATTTCAGTATTCTTATTATTGCCAAATTTCAAGTCTTAATTTTACTCTTTTCTTTATTTATGACATTATAGGTCATGGTGCGGTTCTCCAGGAGTACCTATAAAGTATTTCCTGCGTGACATAAAGCTTTACATAATCCCATTTGGATTAAGGTGTATAGAACCAAGTCTTATATTCAAATAAATGACGGTATGTGGAATGTGGGTGTATCCTACTATAACCAATTTGATTAGAGTGCTTTCTTTTTTCTTAAAAGATACAATTCATCTGCAGAAAACATGTATTATTCTTAACATATTAACAGAAATAGTCTAGTGCTATATTAAAAAAGAAAAAAAGGAAGCGAAGAAGAAAGGAAGGAAAGAAAGACAAAGGAAGAAAACTGACTAAAATTCCCTGATTGAGGGAATGGAGATTAGGTGCAGAGCAAGTAAAGAACTGAGCTATCTTCAATTTAAAACAATTCACATGATAAATAGCACTACGTATTTTACTTAATCCTTACAAGTGGTGTGGATTACTAAGTGGTGAAGTGGCTAAACAAGTGCATTTTAAAAAGTCTTTCTTAAAAATTCTAAGTTTCAAAATACAGGTTCTATTTTCTTAAAAAGATATTTCTGCTACATACGTGTTTAATTAAGACCAAGTTTTTCCTTGTTTGATACCTATGCCACTAAAGCAGATGACCCCTATAAAGTGTTTACTAGTAGTTGTAATCACAAAATGGTTGGAACTGTGCTTGCTCTGTGTTCAGTCTCTCTGGAATACATATTTCTACTTTATTCTAGGAGATCCAACTTCCATTTCTTTCTGGGTACAATGCTACTTCTGTGTTTGCAGCCTAGACTTGGACTGAATTTGTAGAATGTCTTAATAGTTACTGAAATGTAATGTTGTTTGCTTACACAAATGCTACTAAAATAAAAAAATATGAAAAGTACATTGGATATAAAGTAGACAATAAACTTGGTGAATTTATTTACATTTCATTAATAGGGATTTATCTAAGCACATTTTATTATCATGTTGACATTTAAAAATCAACTATCAGGATCTATTTTCAACTTCCTATGCATTCTAAGGATGATGTTCTTCTTGAATCTTTAGAAATAAACCATGCTTAAAATCCAAAATTTTCCTGATTAAAAACCATCAACAAACTAGGCATTGAAAGATCATACTTCAAAATAATAAAAGCAATCTATTGTAAACCCACAGCCAATATCATGAATGGGAAAAAGCTGGAAGCATTCCCATTAAGCAGGAGCAACACAAGGATGCCCACTCTCACCACTCCTATTCAACATAGCACTAGAAGTCCTATCTAGAACAAGCAGGCAAGATAAAGAAATAAAAGGCCTCCAAAGAGGAAAAGAAAAAATCAAATTATCTCTCTTTGTTGATAATATTATTCTATTCCTATAAACAACCAAAAAGATCCTAGAAATGATAAATGTCTTCAGTAAAGTTTCAAGATACAGAATCAAGGTACAAAAATTAGTAGCATTTCCATGCACCAATAATGTTCCAAATCAAGAATGCAATCACATTTACAATAGTCAAAAAATAAAATAACTAGGAATACATCTAACCAAGGAGGTGAAAGATGTCTACAAGGAGACCTACAAAACCCTGCTGAAAGAAACCATAGATGACACAAACAAATGGACAAACATTTCATGCCCATGAATTGAAAGAGGCAATATTATTAAAATGGCCATACTCCTCAAAGCAATTTACAGATTCAATGCTATTCCTTTCAAACTACCAATGTCATTTTCCACAGAATTAGAAAAAAGAACTATTATGAAATTTATAGAAAGTGAAACAGAGCCTGAATAGCCAAAGCAATCCTAAACAAAAAGCACAAAGCTGGAAGCATCACATTACCCAACTTCGAACTATACTATAAGGCCACAGTAACCAAAACAGCATGGTACTGGTGCAGAAACAGACACATAGACCAATGGAATGGAATAGAAAACCCAGAAATAAAACTGCACACCTATAGCCATCTGATCTTCAACAAAGTTGACAAAAATAAGCAATGTATAAAGAACGCCCTATTCAATAAATGATGCTGAGACAGCTGGCTAGCCATATGCAGAAGTGTTGAACTGGACCCCTATCTTTCACCATCTACAAATGTTAAATCAAGATGGATTTAAGATTGGAATGTAAGACCTCAAACCGTAAGAATCCTAGAAGAAAACCTAGGAAATACGATTTGGATAACAGATGATGGCGAGGCTGTGGAGAAAATGGAATGCTTATATTAGGGGATATAAGCATTTATTATTGCTTAAGGGAAATATAGATTAGTCCAGCAACTGTGGAATGCAGTTTGGAGGTTTCTCAAACAACTTAAAACAGAATTATCATTCGACCTGTCAGTTCCATTACTGGGTATACGCCTGAAGAAAAATAAAACATTCTACCAAAAAGACACATGTGCTTATACGTTCATTGCAGCCATATTCACATTGAAGAAGACATGGAATCAACCTAGATGCCCATCAACAGTAAACTGGATAATTAAAACGTAGTATGTATACAATATGAACTATTATACAGCCATAAAAAAAAAAAAAGTATGTCCTTTGCAGCAACATGGATGCAGCTGTAGGCCATTAAAAAAAAAATATAGGAACAGAAAACCAGATACCACATGTTCTCACTTCGAAGTGGAGGCTAAGCATTATGTACACATGGACATAAAGATGAGAACAATACACATGTGGGACTAGTAGAGTGAGATAAAGGGACGGGGGCAACGACTGAAAAACTACCTTTTGGGTACTATGATCATGATCTGGGTGATGGGAATCATTCATACCCCAAACTTCAGCATCACACAATATACCCATGTAACAAACCTGCACACATACTCCCTGAATCTAAAAGTTGAAATTATTTTTAAAAATACGGTAAAAAAATGAAAATAAAAATCCATCATGCTTTTATGCTTTTGCTAATTGCTGCCTGGAAACAGCAAGTTCACCTTCAGTGGTTCCACTGTGTTATTAAAATATACATGTTAATATTAAAACATCTTTTAACAAAGCTTTGTTAATTCCAAAGAATATCTGTTACGAATGATGCTCATGACATGAACCAATCACTTAGATCTTGACATAATGTCACAAGAAAAGAAATTTTTAGTAAATGACAGGGGAAAATTACACGTATATTATGTATAAATAGGTATGTGTATGTTGCGTGTATATATAATATATAATATGTATTATATAATATATGTTACATATAATATATATTATGCATAATAATATAATATGTAGTATATATTGTATGTATAGATAATATATGTATATATAATATGTGATATATATAATATATTATATGTATTATATATTATATATTATATATATATACATACACATGTATATGAAAGATTAGTTTACAGAATAATTGTTGTGATGATATATATGGTTAACATTTTTTATATCTATCTATCTATCTACCTATCACGTAGTGTAAATGAGAATTTCCCATTCTAATCTAGCCTCAGCTTGAAATAGAAAATAACCATTGGTAATAAATTACAGATACTCTTTTCATAGCAGTAACACTGGACTGCAAGTTTCAATTCCTGAAACCATGTTGCTCCAATTTTATGCCCATAGTTCCCTAAGGTTCAGAAAGACCTTTTTGGTGTCTCCACTTCACAGAGAGAATCAGATTTGATGGAATACAGTCCCCATATATGTAATCCCATTATCTCCTCAATTTTCTGTAATTTTTTCTTTGCCTGACTCTAAATACTTTAGAAATATTAATTTCAAGGTATTATTCTATCCTAATAGACAACAGAAGAGAAAGCTACTTACAGCCAATCAACATGACACAAATTGAAAAGATTTTCTCCGAATTCGTGTTAGGAGACACATTCCCGAATCCTACACTGGTTAAACTGCTGAAGGTAAAATAAAGTGCTGTGACGTATTTGTCTTTAATGGATGGTCCAGAACTTGAGTCACTGTCATTGTAACGTTTCCCAATTTGTTGTCCTAAGGAATCCAACCATCCGATTTTGTCAGTCAGATAAGGCCTTTCTACATTCCCAATCGCATACCAAATGCAAGCCAGCCAGTGAGCAATCAGGGCAAAGATGCACATTAAGAGCATTAGAACAGCAGCGCCGTATTCTGAATATCGATCCAGTTTCCTGGCCACGCGCACAAGACGGAGGAGCCGGGCAGTCTTCAAAAGACCAATTAATGTTGTTGTCTGTAGAAATAAATGTACACAGTCAGAAACAGTTGGTAAACAATTCAAAGTACATTCATGTGAAGCAAAGTGGACAAGAACAGGTTAAGACAGTATGGTAGCATTAAGCATGACTGTCTATTTAAACTCAGTATTAAACTTAGTTCTTTTTTTTTTTTTAAATATGATACCCGCTTTGGAAAATACTTTGAAAGTGCATGACACAGTAATTCAGTATTGTGGCATGCAAGACCCACGCGGCAGAGAATCTGTCTTGTTTTATGTTCTAAGTGCCTTGCATAAGTCCTCAGTGACTCATTTATTCACCAACATAAATTCTAGTGTGTTACTGTGTGCCTACTAAGGCCACACACTGGGATTATAGTGTCAAACAGACATGGTTACTTTCCTAATAGAGACAGTTATTTAATAGAAAACGTGTCTAATCTAATGAAGAGAAAACAAGGTCGTACTCTACTGAGGAGAGAGAGATTTTTAAAAAATAATTAATTAATTTCAGAGAGAGAAAAGTGACATGATGACAGTAAGCACAGAAATATGATAGAGGGTATTTGGAGGTGTAGATTGGGGTAGAAATGGCTTTAAAAATGAAGACCAAGAAGGGCCTTGCTGAGGAGCTGACATTTGAGTTGTAAAAGATCTGGATAATGAGAAGGAGCCAGCCAGTCAAGCCCCTTCTTCCCATAACTGTGGGAACACTTATTGGATGATTGCATGCATGAATTAGGCACTACATTTAAATGCATGTTTTTATTCCTAAACGTGCTAAATTGAGAAATTATTTCTTGATGTCCCAGTGATATTATAATTGCATTTTGCTTTTGGCTATGACATGTGCAACTAATTGGGTGATTATTACTGACCAGGTATCTAATGATAGGATACTTCGATATAATAACAGGATACTTAACTGGTTGTTTGGACTTCAAATCTGATGAGTACAAATTACAAGCTCATTTCTTAGGTTTCCTAAATAACATCAACTATAAGTACTGTATAATTCACAGGGCATGTAATTATTCCATAGTTACATGGTGTTTACCAATCAATTATTGAGTCATTTTGTCTGTTCATTGTTGCTGCTTATTTCCCAAAGCACATCCAACTATGTTAAGAGCACTTATATCTTAATGGAAGAAATAGCACATGGAATAACTACCACACCCTATGTATTAATATTGATGATAACAAAGGAGCACTAAATATTAAAAAAACTTTTTCATTAAAATGTTCTGGCTGGGTGTGGTGGCTTGTGCCTATAATCCCAGTACTTTGGCAGGCTGAAGCAGTAGGATTGCTTGAGCCCAGGTGTTTGAGACCAGCCTGGGCAATATAGTGAGACTCGGCCTCTACAAAAAATTAAAATAAAATAAAATAAAATAAATTAGCTGGGTATGGTGGCGGGTGCCTGTAGTCCCAGCTACTCTGGAGGTTGAGGTGGAGGATCACTTGAGCCCAGGAATTTGAGATTGCAGTGAGCTATTATTGTGCCATTGCACTCTAGCCTGGGCAACAGAGCAAGACCCTGTCTTTAAAAAAAATGTTCTAATAAGTGTCTACAGTTTCTTGTGATCACAAGGGAAAGGGGATCACCTAGTCTCTCCTGAATTATTCTCTGTTAGTATTGGAACTCTTTAAAGGTGAGAGGAGCTTGTGTAGTTGACATGTATTTATCATAACTGGACTCTGGTCTCTGCTCATTTGGGGATGTTTAGAGAGGTGAGTCTTCTCTGTCTCCAATACTGAGTTGTTTTTCAGAGTGGAATGAAGATGCTTGCTTTTTTTCTTCTTTATAGTTTCAAAAGTATATTTCTTCCCTATGAATGAATACAGGCTTTAAATTATTATTGGCTGGATCCCTGAGAGAAAAGCAAACTTTCTCATATATGTATTATTAATATTTAGCTTAGCAGTTATGTGCTAGGACTTTGGAACAGACAAACTTATGTTTGAATTCTGCCTCCATACTAGTGTGTCCACTTGGACAAGTTATTCGTTTAATCTTACACTTCAGTTTCTTCATCTGTGAATATAAATAATAAGGCCAACCTTACAAAGTTATAGATAACACCCAATAAACAGGAACTCTGTGTTTCTATTTAAACATCCTTTACATTTTTCTTTCCATATATAAGCAGGAACTCTATGTTGTGAAATGGGTTCAAAGAGCTTCCACCCTTTTTAAATGCAATACTTAGATATCTGGAATCACAAGTGGGGGCCTCTCCATACTGGCCCTGCAGCTCCCCCTGGGAAATGGCAGGGGCATTGAAAGACGGACTTCATATAGGCAAACTGACTGCTCAGACTCTGGTAGGAGTTACCCTGGTTCAACATTTCACCATTTCTACACAACTCAGCTTCCTATGTTTATTTTTCCTCTTAATTCTACGTTCTGTTTACTTATCCTGAGAAATCAGAAATATTTGAGAATTATTGTTAACATTTTCTTGTTTTTGGAGCAAAATTTCTCTCTGACCCTCAAAGTAAATGAAGTATAATAAAAATTCTCCAAATGTTGGTTAAATGAAGTGAAAAACTTTAAAATAAATGAGCTGTTTTTATAACATGTTGTGATAATAAGTACTAATGACTCTGCTGGTTGAAAAGATAGTAGAGTAAAAATGATGTTATGATAAGAAAAGCAATGAAATCTGCTGTGCATGCAAGCCGCCTTTTTGCCTTCTTTCCAAAGAAATCTCTGATGATTCTTCTAGCATTCTATGAAAATGAAGTTAAAATCTATATGACAATAAGTTCTCTAAGCAGATAAAACAATATAATGTACATGATAACATGTAAGTGACATCATTTCTGGAGAAAGAAAGTTTAAGATAAATGGGACATGTTGAAATCTCAACATGTATGACAGTATTCATGCTAAATAATTGCAGAAGTAATGACAGAGACACAAAGGAGGGGGAAGGGGAAGAAATTACTAAGTAGTAATTATCTCTCTCAGTTGCATTGTAAGAACGAGTGAATATTGACTTCAAGAGTCAAAGCTATTCTCTTGTAATTTTGTAACATGTACCAGAATAACTACATATGCTGGCTTGACAATGTAACAGATGCCTTGCCTTACTTCTATTGTTATCAAATTGTGGCTAACACACCTGGGCATTCGTTGTGCATAGCTGGGCATAGCTACAGTTGTGTATAACACATCTTGTAGATGATGTTTAGTATTGTAATAACTCTTTCCTGCTTATTATTTTAATATTGCTTTAAAAACTTAAGATGTCTTGCCCCAGATTGCAGAATAGAAAGAAGTGATTGCACTAAAATCTAAGAGAGAGTAGACTTAATAATTATCAATCTTCTGCCAATTTGTTCTAAACCCTTAGCCTCATTGTTTAGTTTAATGGGCCATCTTTATGTTACCTGCAAGTGAGAAACAGGACCAACAACTACCTTATTATATTTTGCTAAGATCAGAATCTGAGTATAATTGTTTTCAGATTGCATAATTATCTCCCAGCACATCTAATTTCATGTAATACCCAGACATTATGAAAATCTCAATTTTTTTATTTTTGAAAATATAATAAATGCAACTATCCATAAATCTATTCACAACAATTGTAGAAACTAGAGATAAAAAACTGTCTCTTAGATGGTATTTCTTGAACTTTTCACTGGTATTAGAAAAATGTCTGTTTGTTAGTCTTGAAAGCAACTAAAAAGAGCATAAAAGCTCAGTAGATGGCAAAATGTGGTTATTGTTATAAAATACAAACACATAATGAAAATAAGATATAAAAAGAGGTGAGTCATTTTGCAGTACATTGAAGCAAGGCGCTTTGTTTTCTAGTCCTGTCACTAAGTATAGCAAAGGGGATATAATGGACTCTTAACAAGTCAAGTTTTCACCCACCAGCACCCATGCTATCTCAGAGCTCAACTCATTTATTGTGATTGAATAATTTTCCAACTCTTTTTTCCAAAATGTCACAGTAAAGTAGGTCTATGTAAGATTTTTATTTTTAATGTATCTTGCCAATATTATTATTTTTAATCTAAAGTAACTCTTTTTCCAAAAATTCAATTATTCATTTTTCTGGGTGGCTGATTAATATCATTCAATTTCAAAACTTTAAAAACATATCCACATCCACTGTTTACTGAAGCCCTAGATAACTTCTTATATTGAGGTAGAAGTTAGTTTCCTTTATTATGTATATTAATTTTTAAACTAAACATTATTTAAATACATATATATATATTTTCTAAACAATTGACGTTCTGTATGTATGTTAGATACTAGGTCCAGACTCAAGAAGACTGTGTGTTTTCTTTTTTTGGTAGATATTTTACAATAAATCAGACAAAATTCTCTCTTCATGCCAGTGGAATTCTTTCTGAAGGCTTGAAATTAGAATAAGTAACTTCTTGTCTCAAGAATAAATTGTCTACAGTTAAACAAAGAGAGACTCACTAACAAGAAAAAAATCTTTTGTTCAGAAATATTTAAAAATTTTTGAAAAATAATTGTACCTTATTTTTTAGTAAACATTTTTAAGAATCTTATATTTAAAATATATTATTTCAGAGATTTACTCTCTAAAACCTTTGCCTTTAAATAAGTGATATAATTATTCTTCCATAAATGAAAATATATAAGTAGGTGATCTTTGGTTTCATATGCAGAATGAATGATCACTGAAGTTTTCTACTTAATCCATCATTTGTCCTTTTTGTCAATAAATATTTGGCTGCAAGTGGGGAAATGTTAACACCAGACAAGTAATAAATATCATTACTCCACACTCATATTTTGCTTTAGATTTCATTTCAGCTAATTCCCTCTAAGTTCTGGTGTTTATATACAGCATTCAATTATTATTTGTTCAATAAATCTCAAGAATATTGGAAACTAGCTTCTAGCCCTTTGTTCAGTTTAACTACATCATTGCAATATTTCTAAGAACGCATTCACTAATACAATCGAAGAGATATATTCTGAATGTGTCTAAAACATTGGAGAATTACCTAGATTG